GTGAAGGGACTCTCGGGAAGAGTATTAAAAACCACCTGGAAATTATTAATAAAACAACTGACGCTGCGGCTTTCAAACCAAAGACGCATCCTTTGTTCAAGTTGACTTATTTTTCAGGAAGGGGAGATACACTGGCTTTAAATTCTATTTTTACCATCCTAAAAACTGCAAAGTTCGTTTGGTTAGTCGGTACATAAGCAAAGCTCGACTGAAGGTTAATAGGCACCTAATAAATTTCTTGAAAAAATAAATCTCATAACACACTCCGAAGTTTGTAATCTACTTAGCCTATTACGTTGTTATTATTACTCTTTAATCTTTTCGGAGTGCCCTTCCTTAACCAGGACAAAATCCGTCAGTGATATACAGCCAATATATTTTTGCTTGTTTGTTGATTCGTGTAAATGACTTTGGTGAATCTTAATTTATTGAATCTTTCACGCCGTTAGGTTTTATTAGTATATTTTTCAAGATTTCATTTACCTACTATCGGAAACAATGAATAATTAAATAATTTTGTGCTTCTAAATCTTCAACGAAATTTCCGTTTAGGCTTTTGGGAGATTTTCGAAAGAATAAGAAAACCAGAATTTTTTGTTAGCACGTCCTCTAATTTCTTCTGAACTATATCGGCTATTGGACCGTTTATCTTTATTTGTTTCTCTTTGAAAATCTTCTACGATTTTAAATGATTCGTCAAGTGGCAAATTTTGGAATTCTATAATTTTTTACAGTACGCTATTCATTAAAAAAAGCAAATCCCAACATTCTTGCCCACATTAAGTTAATATGCGAGATATTATTCTAATCTCAGTGTAGAAATGTAAAAAAAAGCAAGCAAAAAGCATTTAGAGGCATTTAAAGCACCATTCTTAAAAAAAGCAAAAATGGTAAAATAAAAATAGCCTCAAACGCTTTCATTTTTCATGAAACGTGTATATCCAAAACCATTATGTTCTGCATTCAACATTAACGTGTATGCGATGCCATAAATCCGCACTCTACGGCGGCCTGATCACCAAGTGCTTTCTGTTGGAACCAAAAGCGTTGCTGAAACATGCGTAGTGACTGAAACGTTTATGTTCCTGATCCGGATCGTGCGGGGCACCACGACCCAAAAAGGGCACGGACTGACGGACTTCAAACCCGGTCCCTTGCGCAAGTTAGGGAAATCACGAAGATGTATTGACACGGGGTTTATTGATTGACAATTTACCTTGTTTTTATGGAAAAATGAAAATCGCAATCAGCAAACTGTCACACAAAAATGTGACTGTTCACCGAAGCCGGTGGCGCAGTTGTTGCGTTGCCGACTGCTATTCGGGAGGTTGTAAAAACGTAAAAATGTCTTCTCGTTACAGTATACAGGATGTTTCACGCAAACCGATACCTAAAAGTATTGAGCCTCATGTTGAAAATTTAAATCTGAAAATTTTCATTGGCAACATAATTTCCCATGCTCTATCGAGAAAAAATATTATAATGATTGTTTCACTTCCGGTTTTATCGGATGTGGATAGCAACTTTCTTATTTTAAATAGAACACCCTGCATTTTATTGCACTTTCGAAATGCATTAACAACTAGCTAAGCTGTTATGCCCCATGACACTATAGATGCGGACTATTCTGGAACTTATTTTCAGACACTGACACTTTGGAGGTAAATATTCGGAAGAAAAATATCTCAAGGGCAAAGATTTTTGAGTTCAATATATTCCATGGGAGATGTAATTTTTGAAGCGGAGAGAGGTTATACTTTTGTGTGCATCGAAAAAGTGGCTTGTGGATCTGAAGACAAACAAGAAAGGTGTAAATGATGAGGAGTTGTCGAGATCGAGTCCGCTACGACGTTCTCTCTACCTATTCCGAATAAATAAACGATCTATGATCCGTAAAAATCAACAATAGCTAGCAAATATGAATCAAAATCCAAGAGATAAATAACAATGCGCAAAATGTGTCGAACTCTATTAGGAAAGTGCAGCTCTAACGTGTACTGAAGCAGAAGACGGACATGTTCCACCCCTTTGTAAAAAAATATTCATTTACGTTTGTGTAGTCTTGATGCTCGGAACCCAATCATATGATTTGTAATATTTTTAGTCAATTTAATATTGTTACCGACGACTAAAAAATTCAAGAAATAAGACCCAAAACTTGCCCCAAGAAAACTCGCCCCAAGTAAAATTCGCCCCCGGAAGACGCGCCTTCTGAAGATGCACCCTCTGCGTATATGGGGTCCGGATAATTCGTTCCTGATGAAAATATAGCAAAAATTATGCAATTAGATGGATGGTGCAAGAAAATTTGGCGAAAGACACATTTTCCCAGAGATTTTTATACAATTTGATTTTTTGCGCAATAAGTAGTTAAAAACTTTTTAAGTTTTACCGTCGCGTCGAGATTACGATAATAAATAGTGAGTTTTTCGTAATAGAATTTGGAAAAAAGAGTTGTGTTCAGAGCACCGCTGTTCAAGTTAAGATATTTTCGCTAGTACAAAGAACCATTGCTGAAACTGATGTGCAAACGGTTATTGCCGTAAACCTTTAGAAGGGCTTAAACTCGGTCAATTCGCCGTTGTAAAAGCATTTTAATTTCTGCATCAGAATAAACAAATAAGAAAACTTAAACCTCATAATTATTACCTGGTGAAGCTCTCTCTTACTCTAATAGTATAACAGTGTGCCCAATTGTTTGTTAAAACAATTAACCATAAACGGTTGTATTAATTGAAATTGTGGTTTGCTCGCAACGTCTAATATCCAGGGATATATTAGAAAAATCTGCGTTTAGAAGAATTCGATTTTATTTATTTATTTATTTATTTGTTTAACCAGAAACCATACAGAATAAAAATTCCAATTACATGGCACTGGGGCTCTGAACAAATATTAGGACTTAAGATCTAATTTTATTTATTATTAAATTTAGGGGATCGTGAAAAAAGTCGATATCATTAACTGAGGACAACTTATTTAAAGTGATCAAGATCTTAATAAGTGGGGAAGTTGTGTTGTTAACTGCAAAAATAGTATTATTTTGCCTTAGCTTAACAAATGGTACCTACCTTAAGCTTAATTTCTTGAAATAATTCGGAAGAGTATAACAAATTGTGTAAAATTTTGAAGATTTTGCCGTCGGCCTACGAATTTCCAAGGTATATGATCCGTCGCTTAACTTCCATAATTAATTATCGCTGATGTCTCTACCGTGAATTTGTAGCAGCACTGTCGCCGTCAGAGGACCGTTCCGTTTCATATATAAGGTATTGTAGGGTCCATTTTGTAAAATTTACGGTCAGAATCCTTACAACAAAAAATCATTGGAAGTCACATTTGTTATAAAGATAATGAAAGCAGTTTTGTATTGCGTATATTTTTACCATTTTAGAAACTCATTACAATTGGATTGGATTAGATATAAAAAACCAATTCTTGAAAGAAAAATAATTATTTCATTCAGAATTGTTTGCAGAAAACCTCCAATTTAGTGGGTTCGATATAGGTAATGATAGTTTAGATGAACTGTGCATACAAAAATGTGTTGTATTTGGTATCTGTGCGGTGTGCCGGACCGTGTGGCGCAGTTGAGTTGAAGCTCGACTACGGTACTAAGGGTCGCTGGTTCGATACAGGTTCGGGCATGGATAGTGGGTTGGGTTGGTAGAGCAGCCTTGGCTGAAACCCCACCCACTCAAAAATAAAGCCCAAAAATATATTGTGTTATTATAGTACTAGGGGTGGTCTGCAATAAATCAATCAATTACTTATAGCTAAAGATCAATAATTTGATCTCAGTCAAATTTACTCGCTCTAGGCATATTCACACCCTCAAAACATTTTAATAGAAAGTATGTATAATACAAACTCATTAAACAAACTAAAATTCTCATATGACGTGAGAAGAAAATGACAGATTACTATATACTTGATCCACTTGAATCAAATGTTAATCAATTACATACCTACTACCTTTGAAAAGCTAAACGTATAGTGGCCAATGTTGGTAAAAAATGTACTTAGTATAACTTATAAGAAGAATAGTAGTTGATGCAGCATTTATTGGGAAATCTCTTGGCCTATCATTCCTAATATCTTGTCAAAGTTAAAAGTTAAATCATGTTTTTTGGAAGCTTTCCATTTAAGGACTGTATCACATTGAAAACCGTACGAAATTAATTTAGTGGTAGATTTTCTATATGTTTTAATCGCTCGCGATAAATAGCTTCACAGCAACGTGTACTAGACCACATTAAGTACTTATAAACACAACCCCTGTGCCACTAGAGCGTCTGAAAGAGTCGATTTGAGAGTAAAATACGTTCCGTCGGATGGGAACAACCTTTGCAAGAAGTATCACTTCTTACCCCTAATTTGAACTGATTTTTAAATGTTGTAAAGTAACACAAATTATGTATAAGTACATCTTTTGCACATTTTTCAAAATCGCTTTCTTTGAAGCAAATGTCCTAGAAATATGAGATGAATTGATGTGAAATCAATTTCTCCAAACGAGGATAAATCCCCCAGTAAATCGCGCGTCGCGACGTTCATTGACATTGCGATTTTCAACGTGATTGGGTGGGAAGAGTCGTGATTTCGTAACCTTTCCATTTAATTTATAACACCGAAACCGTGCAACTTTCAATTTGTAGATCAGGAAATGCCTCCAAACGTATTTATTGGTCGTAATAGGTGCAGGTATTATAGGAGTAGTAGCAATCCCCACAAACATTAAAAGAACCAGAATTAATCGGCACGGAAAAGAAATTCTCTCTTGTATATAATTTCGAAGTATAGCGGTTTAACATCTAATAACTACCTTCAATTATTGTATACAAAAGCACTTCTTAAACAAAGTCGGATGGATACAAGAAGAAAGTTAGCTATTGGTCCTTGCTGGATGCTGCAAGGATTCCCACTACAGAAGCCTGAGGTGGCAAGGGGGGCGTGAATCCCCCGCGGCTGCGTGGGGCCCCTTCAGTAGTCAACCGGCCGTCTTTCTATTATGTTTTGCATGTGCCGTTTCTCTTTCGTGCTTCGTTTTTAAGCCCGATGCGGGCCCGTATTTGTGATGATGTGCAGTGTCATGTGGCGATTGTTATGTAGGAGCATGACCCATGGATATTTAATACAGTTTTTCTTACTTCTCCTTTACTTGCTACAGGTAAAATTTATATAAACACACCAAGAAATGCACCTGCTTATTAAAAAGGACGAGATCCGCGCTCGACGCTCGAGCTTTGATGAGAGTCTCTCGCACACACGAAATAAATACCGTCGCATTCTTGCGCGGAAATTAACGTAAAGGGGTGCGTTGCGAGCTTTAGCGCGACGATTGCGGTCCTTTCGACGCTAGTTTTGCACTTTTCTGTTTTCTTTTTTTTAAAGGAAAGTGGGTGAGATTTGCATAACATATTTAGATAATTAAAAATCGTACTTCCTTGCTTATTAGACGGGAGATACAGTTATCAGTTAAATTATTTTAGACATGCAGGAAGTACCATGAAATTTACATTCAAAATCTAGTCCTCGCTTCTCAATTTTCCAGTTAGGGTTAAACATCGATGTCTGAAATGGAACACCAAATCGATTTACTTGGCCCACGGGCCCAATTAATTAATAATAAAAGGGTGGATTGACCCTTGCGCCCTAGTTTCTTGTTTAATGTACTGTTTTTTTAACGCATCCGCCGTTGTAATATTGCACGTGCTAATCGCGCCGCCCTTTATGCGATATTTTTATTCAAAGCGGTACGCTTTATACGGTGGCGAAAGCAGATAAATGTGATACTTTTATCCTGGCTTTTATCGCGTCAAAGTGTGAGAAATGGCATTCAAAGGTGGCGAAGCATTCAATAAAATAATTTAGTCACGTTTATTAAAATGCTACGATAATAAAAGACTTTGTTGTTGAAATTTATTAAATGAAATGTTTTATTTTTAGGCGACTACTTTGAAGTAGTTTATAAACCAATCGGCGTAAAAAATAATAAAACCCCATCCATCCATAAAGACTAATGAATGACGGCTAAGGGATGACAAAGGTGCACCTGTGGCCGCTACTAGGGAATCCTTGAGCCGCCAGTAAATTTCAGTAAAGTTGTTCTCTACGAATTTTAAACTAAGATATTGTTAAAAATAAACCAAAAGACGTAGGTACTTGAACACCCGTTTGTAGTAACGTCAGGCACTTGACAATGCAAGCCAGAGTATACATTTTTATCAAAGTTCATTGCCTTAATGGCTGTATCGAAAATCCTTTGCTCGGAATTTCAGTTTCGAACCGAGGATTAGTATGCAAGTCGCTTTGTTGATTTTATATATTTTTTTATAATCTTTTTAGTGTCGATCTATCTATGTAAATATAGGTTACGTTTACATAGTTTTGTATGTTTTAGAATGGTCTTACATACGTGTGCCTTTAATATTTAATCCAAACACTTCAAACGCATTAGTTCAACCTCCCTAATGTATTTTTAAACCTGAAACGCAGACATAATTTCCAAATGCTGTAATGTAACTCCAAAAATAACGATACCTAACAAAGTGTAATTAATCAGGATTATTTTTAAATTTCCGATTTTCAATGTGAGAAAGTCGTTATCTAATACAAATATTGGGTTTGCTGATGGGGGTATACAAATTTTGACCGAATAATGCAGTGAAAGGATGCTCTTACCCGTTAATTATCGCACATTATGAGTTTTATTGGTAGTTAAATGAGCATAAAAGTTAAATGGAATTAGAACGTGTTAAAGCATCTTACATTTTAATTTCTCCATCAGATTTTACAGTTATCATAATCTAAATTACCCCCAAAATCTTTAATGGCAAATGAAAGTTCTCGTACCGTGTGAACAAAGTCGTCTGGTAAACGACACTTTGTGTTTTCCGGTACAATATTGTTTCTAGATATCGCATCTGTATACATTTCATGTTAGGTAGGTAGGTAAAATGTGAGCCCAACAATAAAGATTTGGTTACACAAAAACTACTGGAAACTGAGGAAACGCGACAAAATATTAAAAGTGTCTGTCGTAGAATGTACAATATTTAGCAAAATGTGACGAAAACAGTAATGAAAAAATCGGATTACAAAAAACAGCTCGAAGAGGGCAAAGTTTATTGAACTCCTTGAGGAATGGTGAGCATGAATATAAAATTCGCCTTGATTTATCCAAATTTGCAATTACTTCCTTTTAAATCACATACCGAGATCGGATAAAAAACAGCCGGTAATTTTCAAGTTGCGGTGTGCATTCCTTTTATTCACTTAAATTTCGCACTCTCTTAAATTACTTAGCTGAATAGTTGCGGCTTTCTTCTTTTACCTGAATCCTGATACAATTCACTTTTGAGGTATTAAAATTGATTTGTATAGGTAGGTAATTATATATACCATTGATGGATTGACTAAATTTTTATGTTCGGGAAAATCAAAAACAGTAAGCGATTCCAAACAAATTTTCAATATGACATGGGGTTTAAACAAAGAAATAAAAAATTGATCACCTACGCGTATTACCTAGATGTCTGCAATAATTATAAGTAGGCCCTCGAGTATATCGAGGCCTATATGGTATGTTCTAAGGGAGTGTTTAAACTACTAGACGAAGTCTACTCATTTTTTCAAAATTCAAACAAGTATTTAAAATCTAAGTAAAACAATCAGTTTTTGATGATTTTTTTCTTTCAAATGTTTGTATGTTTTTGCATATACTATTTCTAATTAGAATCATTGCATTGTGTGCAATTAAATATATATATTAAATAGTATATATTTATACAGTAGCGCATTGAACTTGTCATTAAAGACAGAGAGCCAGTAATTTTGGTAATTAAACTTTTAAATTGTATCATGGGAAAGGCTTTCCTTCAATGAATCTGAGTATATGTTTTTTTTTAGATTTATCCAAAGAGTATATCACTGCTTAGATTTTTGTACACGTAGATACCTACTACCACAATATGGAGTAGTTCAGGCTCGCGTACTACCCGGCCCTAACAGGTGCTTGCCAATTCTTCCCGTGTTCTGAGAGATACCATCGGGTCTCCCAAGTATAGTACTCGTTTTTCTAAATAACCTCCGCAGTTGTCCATACGATTAAATGCTGAGCAAACGATGGGCCTCTGGTGTTGTCATAAATTGGTTTATTTCTGTCTTTTTGGCCGAATTCTCTATTGAACTGTTATTTTGGCTACTACCTACTAGCTTTGGCTTTTCCCGCTACAGATACTGGGTCTCATCAACCCGCCCAGCATGCATGCGACAAAGGTGTTTGTTGAATTTGGGCTTATCCATTTCATCCCCGATTAAAGTAAAGTCCCAAGAACGAATATTTTAAAGCAAATTTAGTATCGTACCATGTCACTGATTCGCTGTACGGGGAAGTATATTTGTAAACGGCAGACGCGTCTGCAAGCATGCGAAAATAGACCCTTCCCCACAACTATTTCGGAATGTGAACCCAGTTTAATCACGATTGAATGTGCGCCATAATGGTCTAGTGGCAAGGATTTTCGGCTTGCAACTGGGCGGCTCGGGTTCGATTCTTTGCGTGAAAAGTTTTTATTTTTTTGTCACAAAAATACATAATTCGAAACACAGATAGTAGCAATCTCGATATTTTGGCCGGTACATTCATATATAGTTACGAAATGGTGGCAAAGCGAGATAATCGGGAAGACCTGAAATTGTCAGGGAATTTCGAGGGGAATTTTATGAACTGGAAATTGCGTCAAAGAATTTAATGAGAAATGCACCATTCTCGCTTATCTGCGTGTAAGCGTCCATAAAGGGCATAATTAGCGGTTCTATTTAAGTCCCGTTTCGCTTGTGCATGGGTTTACTGACCTGCTGGAGACGCGTCGTCAGAGAAATTGGAAACTAAAAATAAACAAACTCAGAGGATGCCGGATAAAAAATCAAAATTTTTGTTGAACATGGAAACCCCCGAGGGAAATTCTTTACCTCATATAGGAAATTTCGAAAAAACAACTGGGTAATATGCAGAAAATTGACGAAATTAGAGGAAATTCGGGGGAAATTTTGTGGACATAGGAGGAAATTTCAAAGGAATGAGGAAATTCTAAGGAAATATTAGTAAATTCTGAAGAAATGTAGAGGACATTCTAAAGAAATCTAAAGGAAATTTGAAGGAAATATGTAAAAGGATTTCGATAAGGAAGTAACACTACTTTTTTCATGTTAATTGAGAAATTTAAGGCAATGTTAGAAATGTTGGGGCAAATAAATAATAAAATAATTGTCGGTGATGTGTAAAAATTTTAAGCAATAATAAAGGTTTGGGGTAGTAAAATTCCATAGAAGTAAAAGTACCGTAAGTAAACTTTGTTATTTGGTGTTTCTGAAAAAAAACAAGCCTACACTTTGTTGCAAAATTCATATTTTTTATTCGTACTTATAAAAGCACAAGTTTTTTATAAACAAATTTCGAGGCAAATTGTACAAGTATTGTATACAATTTATTTACTTACTCATGGAAATTCGACAATTTTTCAACATATATGGATAACATAAGAATTCATATTATTTTCATGCGGAATGATGATGATTGTACCTAACCGTTTTGACAAACCTAGGTTTGGGTTTGGCCTTTGGGACTGAAATGTTTTTTCCATTGCTGAACTTTCCGCTTTTGATGTTCTGATGCGACTCGTTTGTGCGACTGTGTTTTTCTTTCCAAGTAAAATATTATAGAACTACGGAGTCTCCATAATTTTCCAGATCTATAACAAATTGTTATTATAAAAAGTTATTCATTCTAAGCGCATGTATAGTGGACGCTTAGAGCCTGGCTTCATTGCCCTAACCATTACTTTTTAGCGCATTTTTGAAAAAAATACGCTATTATATTCGTTATTGCTGGCAGGCCGGCTGTCCGCGTTAGATCTCCACAACTACAATAGCTAGAGACTTCAAATTTTCACTAAAAGCTTTCTGCTATAGTGTAGATGTGCAGGCACTAGTCTATTTTGAGTTAGATTACTTGTGAGATCGATAATTGAAGAAAATAATTTCGATATGGGTTTCGGAGGTGCTATAATTTTACCGTTAGATAGCGCTACCAGTATAAAAACTTATTATTTACTTTGTGATTTGTTTTACAAAATGAAGACGTACCGTTAATTGAAATTAAATAAA